TAATAGATTAATTCATTACACACAGACTGATATATTTCAAATGTTTATTTCTTTAATGTTGATGATTATAACTGTGAACTAATGAAAATCAATTTTTCAGTATCTCAGAAAATTAGAATATCAATTAAGATCAATGCAAAAAAATAATAATTTTAGAAATAAACCATCACAATACTCCATAGAAAATCTATGGGGTTAAGGTCAGATCAGTTTGCTAGCCAATCAAGAACAGGGATACTATGGTCCTTAAACCAACTCTGTTCAGATGCCAAGTCCTGTTGGAAAGTGAAATCTGCATCTCCATAATGTTGGTGAGCAGCAGGCAGTTTGAAGTACTCTAAAACTTCCTGGTGGACGGCTGCGTTGACCTTGGACCTCAGAAAACAAAATGAACCAACACCAGCAGATGACATGGCACCCCAAACCATCACTGACTCTGGAAACTTTACACAGGACCTCAAGTAAAATGGATTCTTTGCCTTTCCTCTCTTCCTCCAGACGCTGGGACCTTGATTTTCAAAGGAAAAGCAAAATTTACTTTAATCAGAGAACATAACTTTGGACCAGTCCAAAGCCAGAGCAGTCCAATCCTTTTAGTCTTTAGCTCAGGTGCTTCTGACACCATCTCTTGTTGGCTTGACACAAGGAAAGCGACAGCTTAAACCATGTCTTGCATACATCTGTGTGTGGTGGTTCTTGAAGCACTGACTCCAGCTGCAGTCCACTCTTTGTGAATCTCCCCCACATTTATGAATGGGTTTTGGTTCACAATCCTCTTCAGGGTGCAGTTATTTCTATTTTTCTCTACTTTTTTCTACCACATCATGTTCTTCCCTTTACCTCTCTATTACTGTGCTTGGACACAGAGCTCTGTGAACAGACAGCCTCTTTAGTAGTGAACTTTGGAATCTTGCTCTCCTTGTGAAAGGTATCAATGGTCGCCTTTAGAACAACTGTCAAGTAAGCGGTCTTCCCCATGACTCTGTAGCCTACAGAAGTAGACTGAGAGACCATTTAAAGGATTTTGCAGGTGTTTTGAGTTAATTAGCTGATTAGTGTGTGGCACCAGGGCTGTTCAATATTTAACCTTTTCACAGTATTCTAACATTCTGAGATACTGAATTTGGGATCTTGGTTGCCAGTTATAATCATCAAAATTAAAAGAAATAAACTTTTGAAATTTATCAGTATGTGTGTAATGACTGAATCTAATACACAAGTTTCACTTTTTGAATGGAATCACTGAAATAAAAAATCTTTGTCCTGATATTCTAATGGAGACCATGGAAAGACTCATCCTCACCCATCTACGTTCAGTGGTGACCCTGGAAACAGACCCACTACAATTTGTATATACACCAGACATAGGGATGGAGGACACGCTCATCTACCTACAACACTGGGCTCTGAATCACCTCGAGATACAAAAAAGCACTGTGAGAATTATGTTCTTCGACTTCTCAAGTGCCTTTAACACCATCCAGCCATGTCTACTGCAGCAGAAGATGACGAGTGCAGGAGTGGATGAATGTCTGACTGCATGGACCATCAACAGTACTTGAGGCTGCACAACTCTACATCTAAGGTGGTTGTGTGCAGTACTGGAGCTGCACAAGGCACAGTGCTTTCACCCTATCTCTTCACTTTGTACACCTCATACTTCACCTACAACACCAGCAGCTGTCACCTACTGAAGTTCTCTAATGACTCGGTCATTGTTGACTGTGTGTCTGAGGGGAATGACCAGGAGTACATGTCATCATCATGTACTTTGTAGACTGGTGTGAGCGTAAACACCTTCACTTGAGCACCCGCAAGACAAAGGAAATGGTGACTGACTTCAAGAGGAACACCCCTCCTCACTTACTGGTAAACATCCAGGGCGCAGACATTGAGGTGGTGGATACCTTTAAGTACCTGGGTGTTCACCTCAACAGCTAACTGAACTGGTCCAACAACACAGATGTTCTGTATAAGAAGGACCTCAGCCTCCTCCTCCTGAGGAGGCTGAGGTCCTTCGAAGTTAATTTCTATCTGTTAAAATCTTTTTATCACTCTGTGGTTGGCTCTTTTATCCACACTGCTGTGGTCTGTTGGGGTGCAGGCAGCTCTGACAGAGATAGAAAGACACTGAACAAGCTGGTTCACAAACCTAGCTCGGTTCTGAGCAGCCCACTGCATTCCACTGTGGAGACCATGGGCAGCTCCTTCAGAGGCAGACTGAGACATCCCAGATGTAAAACAGAACGCTACTGTAGGTCATTCATCCCCTCTGCAGTAAGAGTGTATAACTCCTCAGTTTAACTGGTACTAGCATTATCCTGGTACACAATAACATCAATTGCAGTATTCACTATGTGTTCAATAATTTTGCAGTACCGTATTTACATAGTATGTCTGTGTCCCTTACAGTATACTGCATAGTGTTGAACCCCAAGTTTTATTCATGTTTGTGGTTTTTAGCGGTTTAAGGTTACAATACTAGATTACTGCCTATGTATATATACTTGTAATTATGTATCTTCATTTATGTTTATCTTCAAATTATTCTTTTAAGTGTTGGTGCTGCTGCAAAACGGGAATTTCCTCACGGTGGGATCAAAAAATTCTATTCTATTCTATTCTATTCTATTCTAATTTTATGACCAGCACCTGTATGTTAAAAACTCAGTTTGAGGACTACACCTATCAGTAAAGTATCTCAAAAACTTCAGAACAGATATCATTAGACTTAAAACGTCTTTACTTACAATTAATTGACTTTTGTAGAAACCCAATTTAATATGGCCTCCATGGCTAATCATAGCAGTCAAAATATGCTATAAATAAGCTCATTTTACAAATATTCGGATATATTTTTACCTGACAGTAGCTGATAGTCATTAACAGTGCATACTCATGGAATATTGCATAAAAATGCAGTTATTTTCTATCCTAGAAATCTAGATAGACAGCTGAAGCAAAATGATTTTGCTCTGTAGGTTGGTCTAGCCACACAAAGAAGCCTCAGCAGGCCCGAACAGTTTTGTGCCTTGCCAATCAGAGCTCTCTAATTTTTGGTGGGCGGGAAGTGTGTCGGCATGTTTAAAACAGGTTTGGCATCAACTTTGGACTATTAGACTTGAGCTTTTCTTTCAGTCAAGAGCAGATAGAAGTAGTTAAGTTCTTTATTTAGAAAAAATATGTATTTGTGTCTTCCTCAACGGTGTAGTGGACCGCCCTGTTGACTAACATCTGTAGCAACGAGTAGCTCTTTCTACCAATTCTGCCTTTCTTGGGATCCACTGATTACCTCTTTCTTATTCATTTTCTCATTCCCTTTCTCCACATTTTTTAACACTTTTTTTTTGCTTTCCCCAATTTTATGATATTTGTAAATAATCTTTTTCTTTTTTATTTTGTTGAAACATTGATGGAGCTCAAAAGGTGTGTCTGAGAACCAAGGTTGAACATGCTTCACAGAAAGCCAGCATCCTGTTATCCCAACACATTATCACACCCAAAGCGGCTAAAACTGACGAAGGTTGACCCAGCGTTGGTTTCCGACGTGTTGAGAGATGATGCACTGTGCCAGAGCGTCTCTTTCTGATGCCTGCTGTAAAACGGACATTTTAGCGAATTGTGACCTTTACCCTCTTGGAATTTAACCTTCTCCTCACCCCCATCCTAACCTTAACCCACTTGCGCGTGCAAAACTTTGTTTCTAGTTGTATTGTTCCTCTCAAGCACAGTTAACGGGACATTTGAATGAGAAACTGGGTTAAGGTTAGGATGGGGGTGAGGGGAAGGTTAAATCGCTAGAGGTTAGAGGTCAAAGTTGGCGAAATATCTTTTACCACGGGCGTCGGAAAGAGATGCTCTGGCATTGCGCGTCACCTTGTGACGCATTGGAAACAAACACATAGTCAACCTTGGTCAGTTTTAGCTGCTTTGGGTGTGAGAATGTGTTGGTTATCCAGTAAATTTAGTGATCAGTTCCAGTAAGGAATATTTATCTGAAGTCAACAGGCAGCAGATGTTTCCTGGAGTTTTGGGACAACCTATTTCAATTCATGTGTGTGTAAGGTCCATTTCCTGGTTATGCAATACTGATGGCAGTGAAGTACTGAAATAGTCCCAACTTGATGTGCTGAGGGCTAGGCTTGGTGATACACTGTCCAGCGTTGATAGAGTTGCTTGTATGACTGTGAAATGAAGCCCCACGCTGTGAAGGACAACTGGTCCTTCTCCTGTGTAAACCCATTAAGAACCCATCAGCATCTCATGCTTTTTATCTTGAGAGGCTATGAAAGATTGGTTCTTCTACGTCACACTGTTCAGTCCAATTGTGTGCGGAGACAGTTTGAAAGACAGCCGTATATCCCGCCTCACGACTGAGCTATGTCTATGGGTCGTGGCCATCCTGTATATTCATTTATTTTCTAGTTTTTTCAAGAGTTGACCAAAACAAATAAAACAGCATAACATGAGATGCTGTGAGTGTTATGAATCATTTCTAATGCCTTTCATCACACCTTCAAATCCACTCCAAGATCTTTTGGGGGAAAAAATAAATACCTGCATACAAAATCTGCAGAAAACTGAAATCATGCATGCGCTTGCACTGAGCATGCAAGCCCCCCCCCCCCCCCCCCCCACCCACCCACCACCACCACCACCAACAACAACAACCTTTAAAATGTTGCTCATTTCAGATGTTTGGTCATTTAATTAAAATTGGCACCAGTTTAAAAGAAATAAACACATAAACTGCTTAAAAACAATGAAAACGCACACACGCGCGCGCACACACACTTCATCCTGGTAATATTTCAGTGCTGCTGAGTCACAATGATTAATGTGACTAAAGCTTCTCAGGTTTTATGTTGCAGATGTGGCGTGACACATGGAATGTCTTTTATTTTAGCTCATCAGTTTTGGGCTTTAAAAAACACCCAAAGAACGCAGTTTACTATTCTTCCAATTATTTCTTAGTGGGATTCAGGGGGTAAACATACGGAATGTGCGTAAAGAGCCGCCTATGCTGGACGCAAACTGCTCTGCCCAGCGGGCGCCGTCGCGTTTGCTGCGCTCCTCTCCAAGAAGGATAACAAGGCTCATCATGCAACACATCCCCGACCTCGTTCCCTAAATGTGACAATTAGAACATCTTTTCCCCTCGACCAGCCTCTGGTCTCCTCTTCTCTTTTTCATTTTCCCCTCCTTCGCGCGAGTGTGCGTGGATTGTGTTCATCTTGAACATGCCAGCGTTGTAGCCCCCTGCGTTGCGTTGGCGCTGCGGATCTAGCCGACAAGAACAAGAGCCAGCTCACAGCCGTGGAAACAAGCGAATCAATTTAGGGAAGAGACGAGGAGAGACAGATAGCGAGGTTGGGGGAGAGGGGAGAAGAAAGGCGATCGCAGAGGGGAAAGAGAACATAGACATTACGACGCAGCCGCCGATCATCAAGGTATGTTGTCTTTACGCTTTTATTAGACGTGCAGGTAGAAATGAGCGGATTTTATTTGGATGCAGAAATCAGGGCTGAGATCTACAAAGGTTGCAAAGCTGCATGACAATTATGTGAATAATTAATGGAAAAAAACAAGATTCCGTTGTGTTTTAGTCTCGGCGGATCGAAATGTATTACATAAGCCTAAACGTGGCTCTGTTTTTCATAAAAATCAGGAGTCTGTGATTATTTTTGGGTGCAGTCATGTTGTCATTACCCCGAAGAGAGAATGGAAGCAAGCCATTTTGTAATGCAGCATGTGCAGAATTGGGCCTATTCAGAATTTCAATTGCGTTCCGAGAAGGTGCGCCAGTAGTGAGCGCAGCTGCATAGATGAACAAGGCCATTCTGTTCTATTGTAAGAGATATCATGCTGGGGGCTATATGATGAGGCAGGACTGCAGAATAGAGAGATTGTAACTGCAGTAGAACCATGGTCAGGTTGCTGATGTGTTACATTGGGGCTTATTTTGTTAATATTTTAAAAAACTTCCATTTCTGACAGAGGAAATGTTGTAATTTTCCTCCCTCCAACAGATCTGGTTGTTACCATAGGATACTAAAAGTGCCATATCTCACCTCGATTCCCACGTTCTGAATCAATCTAGCGTTGTCATAGTTACAGTAGATGATGTTAGCCCTGCTGCACCTGTGCAGCTTTGTGCTGCTCTTCATCATTTGTAAATATGTTGGACCCCCCCCCCCCCCCCCACACACACACACACACAGCCTCAAGATTTATTGAAAACAACAAGTTTTTTTCACCCTCCCCACAAACCATAAGGTTCATGACATTGTACAGAGCAGGGCATTGATACAATCAGACGCTTACGATGATGTGATTGGTTTTGGAACAGTTGGTCAGCATCTTGCAGCTAATTTGTCTTTTCACAACCAAGTGGCCTCTTAGGCCCCATCGGAGAATCAATACCTACATGGTTTCAATCTGCTCTTGACATGAAAACAAAACAAAAAGTACGGTCTGGAGAGAAGAATGCTTTTGGGTGAGATTGGAAAGAAGAACCCAACGTTGTCTACGTCACAAATTTCAGAGAAAAGAGGAGGATTAGAATGAAGGCTGCCGGTGGCAGGGATGAGTCAAGTTGTGATGTAAACTAAACATAATTATGGACTATGGTGTTGCTTTTGAGCTCAGATTTAGTGGAGATTTTAAATCTGGAAGTCAACAGGCTCTTTTGTAAAACCACAAAACCCTACACGGTCAGGATAGGAATTTAGATAATCACCTTAGAACTGCAGGGGGAAATATTCAAATCACAAATTTAGCTTTTAACGAGATGATGAATTAAAAATATCTTGACTGGAGAACTGGCTTTAGTTCTGTGACTTGTTCAATATTAAAACGGTTTTGATGCTTAGACAAATGGGCTTTGGGTCTGATGTAACCCTGAGTTATTCAAACCTTTTTCATGAACTCAGTCTAGTTGTATAATGGGAATGAGACCACAGCAAAGGGCGTCCGAATGAGATCAGCATAATCAAGTAAAAAATTCTGATTTCTTTTCTCCTTTTCAATCTGAGGTGCGTTTTTGTAACAATTAGACATTACTGTGTACCAAGCAAATGCTGAACAACAAGAAAAAGTCAACTTCAACAAATATTTTCCAGCTGCTTAATCCAGTCTTGCAAGTATAATTTCTACTCCAACAAATCTTCATGTCAATTCCTAAACCATGCAAACATCAGATTAGTTTCTGACATTAAAGATAATATTAAAATGTTATCTCCATCATGTTCACGTGTGCTTTTGTAAAGGTAAGGGCTGAGCGGGGGCTCCTCTGATTTCATCTCTCAGGACAATGCTAATTAAATCTCAAGGTTCAAATCAAATATATGGTTTAATGCTACTGGTCTGCTATGTAAAGCAAACCATTCATCAAGCTGAGTTAAACCCTGTAATGTTGAATAGGGCACTGGACAGTAAAAAACACAAGATGGTGAGTGAGCAGGTTGCCACAGCAACCGTGTTCCTAGGAGTGAATGCATCGTCGCTGCATAGGAAAGCAGAAGCAGAAGGCTGCCATGGAAGCTGACATACTGTATGCACACATACACATATCTATTTATATACAACTGTTGTTTTTTAATTGAAATGTAGGCAATTGTGAAACATTTCCCAGGGTTGTTTTAGGGAGGATGCCAAAAGGTAACGTTTTGGGTTAGAAACAAAGAGCTTTTTTGTTTTCCAGAAACATCCCTGGCTTGTGACCGCTAAAGTCCCGGTGTTGAGCAGAAGGTGTTAGAGCATACAGTGGTCTCTTTTTCTTTCAAATTATTATAAAAGAAACAGCCCAAGGATTTCTAAATTTAGAGAATCTGCTGATGCTTGCAGCCGTTTCTCTTTGAAAATGTACTTGTCACTCTCCTAATCACAAAAGGCAATAACATAACATACCTTTGTGTTCTACCACAAGAAAACATAACGGCACTTTTGCTTTTTCCCTGTCTGTTGTTTTCTCCCCACTTATCACAGTGTAGTTTTCATCATTTTATGAGCTTTATTTAATGAGGAACTTGGACATAATGTGTTTTGTTCAGACTGCACATTGCAGTAAAATGTCAGTTGCCAGTAATCACTACTTTAATTGGTAAATTATACACTTTTCCCCTAACTTACAATACCGTGCTGCTGCTTCATTGTCCTTTCCATTTTAACCTGAGGTCTCAAAGAAGCTGTAGACATCAATCGCTTGAGCATCCCTGCATCCTTTTGTCAGAAAGTTGGATTCTGGTGCTTTGCAGTGCCATCTTTGTATATTATGTCAATCTGATGTGACACAGCTCATACTTTTTTTAACTTGTGGTTGTTACAGTCCCCGTTTTCTGTGGAAGCTACAAATCCAGCTACTCTCAACTTTAGAAGACTAAAATATTTCTTTTTCTTTTATAAAGTTAGTCTTTTGAATATGCTCTAGATCAATACGTCTGCTGTGCACACCTACTTGACATTTCTTTCCTCTTTTCTCCACCAGAAAGAAGCAACAACGTTCCAAGTGACAAGGCAGTCTCGAGCAAATCTACTCCTTAATTTGATAGGTAACCGTCATGGAAGCAAACATACAAAACATCCTATAATGAAATGCTGAAAAGAAAATCAAGGTATTGGGCTATCAAAGTCATTTGTTAAGCTTTAAATGATAACCCCTCCTAAAAAGAACATTCCAGTTTTCTCCCTGATTTTTAAAGTGACCTCTTGACTAAGGAAAACACAGATGAAAAGATTAAACATGAACATGAAGATAAACACTTAAATTCCCCTTGTTGGAGGAAGCTTATCAGCATCATAGCAATAGGGGTGGGTCATGAATCAGTTGCCATGCGTATTGTCATGGTGACCAGCCCCTGCACCCCTTTCCCCGTCCTCTGGTTGGTCCAGTTTTTGTTGTGGTTTCACAACCATGGACCTCAGCCGACAGAGGCAATACCCCCATGCCCCACCCCATGTACCTGCTCCAATCAGGCGAGCCGTGTCATCTGTACAAGAAAGAGTTTGGATCAAGTCCCAAACAGCATTTCAGACAACACAAGATACCTCAACCTACAAGAGAATTCAATTCAGGTAAATAAGGTCTTAAACAACAGACACAATCAAAATGTGCTTTAAATGATCATGATATGTTCACAATACAGTTTTCTGTCTTTTTATGTTTTCTTCACTCAAGGTGATTAAGTCTGACACGTTTAGGCATCTACGGCATTTGGAAATTCTCCAGCTCTCCAAGAACCACATCCGACAGATTGAGGTGGGAGCTTTCAATGGTCTACCCAACCTCAACACACTGGAGCTTTTTGACAACCGTCTTACAGTGGTACCAACACAAGCTTTTGATTACCTCAGCAAGCTAAGGGAATTATGGTTACGAAACAACCCCATCGAGACACTGCCGGCTTTTGCCTTCAATCGTATTCCCTCTTTACGACGTCTTGATCTAGGGGAACTCAGAAAGTTGGACTTCATCTCAGAGGCAGCCTTTGAAGGCCTGGAAAATTTGCGCTTTTTGAATCTTGGCATGTGTGGCTTAAAGGACATCCCCAACCTTGCTCCACTGGTGCGACTAGAAGAGTTGGAGCTGTCAGGTAACCAGCTTGGGATTGTCCGGCCCGGATCATTTCAGGGCCTCGTGTCACTTCGAAAGCTGTGGCTGATGCACTCCAAAGTGTCAGTCATCGAACGCAATGCTTTTGATGACCTCAAGATCTTGGAAGAGCTGAACCTTTCCCACAATTCCCTGCATTCCCTGCCTCATGATCTCTTCACCCCATTGCACCAGTTAGAGAGGGTACATCTCAACCATAATCCTTGGGTTTGCAATTGTGATGTGCTGTGGCTCAGCTGGTGGCTAAAAGAAACAGTTCCCAGTAACACCACATGTTGTGCACGGTGCCATGCACCCCCAGGTTTGAAAGGCAAATACATTGGGGAACTAGACCAGACACACTTTACCTGCTATGCCCCAGTAATTGTCGAACCACCCACTGACCTCAATGTCACCGAAGGCATGGCTGCTGAGCTGAAGTGTCGTACTGGAACTTCCATGACCTCTGTGAACTGGTTCACCCCAAATGGCACGCTGATGACTCATGGATCATACAGAGTTAGGATCTCAGTGCTTCATGACGGAACACTGAACTTCACAAATGTGACCGTGCAGGACACTGGTCAGTACACTTGTATGGTAACCAACTCTGCTGGAAACACTACTGCAACTGCCGTGCTTAATGTGTCTGCTTCTGATTCAAGCAACGGCTACAGCTATTTCACTACGGTCACTGTCGAAACAGTGGAAACAGTTAGAGGAGAGGATACAAAGTCGGCAGGACAGTACGTAAACGAGACCTACATAGAGTTCCCTAATCCTACTGTCCGAAGAGAGTTGGATGGGCGGCCTGGCACCACCATATCACCTTCTCTCTCTTCTCTCTCTTCTCTGTCATCAAAAGCTAACAAGGCTGACAACTCAGTGACTTCAGTAATTGATGTAACCAACATTCCAGGCCTGGATGATGTAATGAAAACAACTAAAATCATCATTGGGTGCTTTGTGGCCATCACTTTTATGGCAGCTGTAATGCTGGTTGTTTTCTATAAACTTCGCAAGCAGCATCAACTGCACAAGCACCATGGTCCTGCCAGAGCTATTGAAATAGTCAATGTAGAGGATGAAATCGGAGCTGGAGCTGGAAGTGGAATCTCAGGTGGTTCGACAGTAAATTCTGGCACTGCTGGAGAAGGAACCCTAAGGATACATCACCCAGAAGTAATCAACCTTCCCAACATTGGCCGCACAGATACCCTCAACCACTACTACAAGACACACCATTTCAATAACAACGTGATGGGTCTTAATATCGGCAGTGAAGGGATGATACCCGGGGGGATCCTCAGCTCCAAGAACCAGCATGGCCAAGATATTCCCATCTCCTGTACCTCAGTCCCAATCTCTACATCTAATCTGCTGAATACTTCAGGCAATGGCACCAACTCTAACCCCAGTTCTATGTCACCACCGCTACCGATGTCTCTCCCAATGCCTACCTTGGGTTTACATGGATCAATCAAAGGTTTCATGGGGCAAAACCAAAACCCCCAAATGGAACCCTTGCTCTTCAAAGGGAGCTCAAAGGAAAACGTTCAAGAGACCCAGATATAAAAGTGAGAGCATAGAGGGTGAGTGAGAAAGAGTCAAAGACAGAGAGGGAATTGATGTTGGGTTTACGTGTGGAATGATAAGACACTAGAGTGCATTGACATTAAACCAGGAGAGAGGAAAGACTGACACGGCAATACACGAACACATAGACTTATCTGTGATGGTGTACTGAGCCAAGGATAACCACAATGGCCCACTTGTGTTTGTAGGGACGACCATGGCCATGGAGATCAAGGAGTGGACATTGCTACAATGTAAATCTGTGCCAAAGCAAATGTTTTTTGCAGTTTCAACAAGCTCATAGGGAATAAAAGACAAACTAGTTTGTCAGAGTAAATCAAATTGTTTTTGGCCAGCAGAGTTGAAAGATACGCACAGCACTTACCACACTGAAGAGCCGAAATAATGCAGGATAAAATCTGAGACATTTTTCTTCCACAAAAAAAAAAAAACAAAAAGAAAAAAAATACATGAGAAACATTGTCTCTCTAAAGTGACTCAATAGACTCCCTCAAGGTGAAAATTATGTAGGCATAATAGATGGACAGAAAGGTACAGTGCAGTACAAACTACTGTGAAAAATCCACAAATAATATAAATATATTTTCATCTAAATATGTATCATTGAAGACTCCGATGCAGACATATTTTGAGATGGATGTATAGGCTGGTATAGTTTGTTTCTTTGTGAATAATCAGGGGCGGTGATAGCAGAGGTTTGTTATGATTTTAATTTGGCTACTTTTCAGAAACGTAAGGGCTCAATTGCAACACTCATTGTGAACCTTTCAATTGGCTTTGCAACACAAGGTCCATTTAGTTTGTAGAATGGTAAGTGCAGATCTCTGTTTGACAAACTTTTGTCTATTTTTTCAATAATATTGACTGCAAATTTTTGTGTTTTGAGAGTGTATTATGTATTTTGTAAAAGCCAGCCAGCCACATGATATTAAGATAAAAATGTCTGACACTTAAATGCCAGCACTAATAATGGTGAAGCAGTGTTACTTAAAAACAAGATGAAAATCCAATGCAATGACCTGTAAGGGTAAAATAAAATGTCGACAATGTGTTATTTGAATCTGATCAGTAGCCACATACTTGCTTATAGACAGAAATTTGATACAACCTCCTTGCTCATGGTGACCTTAGTCATGCCATAAAATGCTGCTGTAAGGATGATTAGACATCTCCAGCAGCGTAAAGGAAAGGAATAAACATCCATGTTTGGATGGTTAGGATGCGTGAAAAATGTACAGTATATTAATAATGATAATGTCTGGTTGTACGACAATTGTAAGAACCACATTTTTACATTGTAACTTTCATATGTTAAATGCCATTTACGCTTCTTGCGTTTCAACTATGTATTACTTTATTTTTGTTAGTTTGATATAATGTGTACAGTTGTCTAGCCATGTGTCATTACGTGTGAAATAAATCAATCATATATTGGGTTGTGGCGGGTCAATAATGGCAGCAGCCAGTAAGAAGGGAGACATTATGTTATCTTCAACAGCAAACCTGGATTGTATGTACAATTTGTGGTTTAGCCATTAGTCATCCTGGTAATGATAGGGTCCATCTGTTTGCTAAAGATGCTTTGACGAGCTTTTAGTCACTCTTCTATAGATGGATTACTGGTTCTGAGAAATAAGTGTTATTTTATGAATGTGGTTTAGTCAGAAATTAGTCACTTTTGTTGTCCACCGGTTATTATTTTACGTCAGTGTTAAGATGGTTTGGAGTTTGAAACATATGAATCCAGATAAAGGATTATGCAGACTTTGATACATAGTTATATTTATCAAAAGAGGAATTTGATTAAATGTTTGTTGCAATTGAGCTCAAACTGAACATGTGACCACTTGAATTCAGAGCTCCATAAACAGTTGTGTGTTTTTCCTTTTTCACCTCTTTCTTGAACCTAGTGTTTTTGGCAAAAGGCTATACGGGTCCATGAATACAGTATAATGGGTTTTATGTATGTGATAAAAGTTTGTTATATAAAATGAGCCTATACTAACTGGACGAAGACATAAGAAGGAATAATGATATTTATGTGTCTAATATGAGTGATGAATTTTCTTTCCTACCAAGGCTTTAAAACAAACGTTTCCTTTATCAGCACACACTCTAGTCTACTGCAGCCATAAACATCTGGTTGTTGCTTTAATCTGAAACTCAAGTAGATACAATGGTGCGATCCTCCAAGCAAAAATAATCTGAAAGTTTAAATTATTTCCCCATAAAGACACAAATCAAATTGAATTGAGGGCCATTGATGAAACAGGCTGTTGCTCCCTCGACATCCGATGGGTCTGTCATCAACGCGTTTTTGTGTTTGATGGTTCTTGTTTGTCCGTGGTGACGTTATGCACGTGTGCTTTAAAGTTGCTTAAGTAAATTTACAGAACAAGCTAGGCTTTGAATGCAAACACGGTTACGGAACACTCACCCCTCTCCTTGGGTATCTTCCCTGACCCCTACTTCACACTGGAAGCATCAGCGGAGCGGAACGGCGGCGGAATGCTTTACTTGCAACTTTCGCTGCAGTCCAGTACACACCGAGGGTCAGCCGTGGAGCGGCCTCTCTGCCATGTTCCTCGAAAACCCTTCAAGACTGCACCATCCTCCTTGCTTAACTCCCAAGATCACAAAATTCTTTGAATTTATGCCATCTGTCATTAAACCAAAAAGGGGGAAATCACGTTTTGATATCACTGTCATATATGATGTTGTTCCTCTCCACTGCCAGGATTGAAGCTATGAAAAACACACCGCTACACTTCTGTAATGATGCTGGACGTACATAAGCTGTTAGGCCACATGTATTTACATAGTCTGCATAGATATGGAATCGCATCACTGCAGTAGTCTTATCTAGAAATTTACCAGGGGTTTTACACCGAAACTGCGTGTGATTTCTTGTCCATCCCTATGTTAATTGCGGGAAGTTTCATGACCCAGAAGCTGCTAGCGGAAAAAAATAGAACCCAATCCTCATCAGCGCGGCTTCTTGGACGTGCCTGACATTGTCTGCGTCATGGCTGGTTTGAATCACCCCCCATAGACTATAATGGATTTTAATCAGAAGCAGTGACTTTCCGCTGCTGATGCTTCCAGTGTGAATTCTGCCAGAACAGGAGACCCACAATGCTGGAGGAAACAAGTTAGTGCTAATCACCAGTCACCATTTTCTAAGTCCAAACGTCACTTATTGTCCGTGACTTCAAATGGTGTTTTTCTTTTTGGGACTCTGGTAGCACAAAACCAATTATTGGTGGAGGATTTTAGACAAGTGCGCAAGAACCACTTCATTATTATTTTTTTTGTTGTTGCTATTTTTAAATCTCAACAAAATACAATAGCTGTACGATTTTGGAACGTTGTTAAGAGCCATGAAAAAACAATTAAGCTAATTTGTTTTCTAAATTTGCCATTGCAGCTTTAATATAACGGTGCATTACCCAATCAAGAGATCGTTCCTTTATTCCTCTGCGACATCACAGTCGCCATGATTATAACATCTACTTGGAGGAAATACAGAAGAGCTTTGCTGTTTGTATGTAAACCTGATGCTTATAGATCAAAGAGGTCTTTTAGAAACATTTGGTGACCTTTGACCTATTTGAATAAAACATCTAATTACTTACACATCATTTGATTGCAAAGCTTGACTACAGATAAAGTTATTCAATGCAAGCTTCCAATCAGATGATATGTTTGTGTTTTGTGCGGAAGGAAAACCTTTCGGTAAAAAGGATTACAGTATTCAAACCACCCAATTGGACGAAAAGAGAATGGACTGACCTTTAATTCCTGTAAAGGTAAGCTATTATGTGTGATACGATATTAAAGCGGCTTGCACTGCTTTGGACATCTTTGGGCTAAACCACCCCAAAACATGGTCAAACTTTTGGTTTGCCTTGAAATATCTGGTTATTGGTTGTATCTGATAGTAATATTATTTTTGATCATTCATAAAATATCATTAGATGTTCTTTTCCTGCAGAAATCTTTTCTGGACTGTCAAAATTAACATGTGTTCACCCTGCGTTTCAGCAGCAGTCACACGGTGACTGTCAAGTTAATTATTTTACTGTTTGCCTCAATTATCAGCCGGCTATAAGAAGTTATTCTGCAATTAGCAGCACAAGTCACTTTCACTTCTTGATGTGATTTCATCCTACAGAAAATCACTGCTAACCAAATTAGCTAACAAGGTCAAAATGACAAGCAGTGTTTTAAAATAAGTTATTTAAGATGACGCAATGACAGAAGTGAGACAGAACCGTACATTTTGGGTATCTTATTTTGTTATTTATATTATTGTGATTCAGCTAAAAACACAACAGAGGATCAATATTAGTTGTTATATACATATATGTTGATTAGTTGTTTGTTAGTCATGAAATCATGAAGACAAATGGGTCCATTTAAAGAAATTCAGTCCCATTAATTCCACAAAAACATTATAATGTCCTGTAATCACTAAAGCATAACAACCACATTAATACATCAAGTGATCCATCGTGGTAAATTAGCATAATTGTACACTAACCTGTGCTGCCACTTTTCTGTGAATAATTAATACATTTGATGATTTAGCAAATATGACAAATAGGTCAAAGAATAACAAATTTGCTCTGTTCAGTGATTTGTTCCATGTTGTTGTTGTGAGCCAAGACTTTCCAGTGTTTCTTTTTCTCCAGAAAGGTTGACAAACAGAACTTGAGTTCTTTGCTTCGCTGTGATCTTGGTTTCATCTGCATGCTCCATATTTCAACTCATGTTAATCCCCCGCGGTGAGGTAAATCTGTACATATTATCACAGATGTCCGCTGCACAGACCACATTACAAAACAACTTCAAGGGATTTGAGTCAGAAAAATTTCATCAGCCGTGGACCGAAACCATGAATTTAATATGTTTAGATAAAACGTTTGGGCCCTACAGCTGGTAGACTGCCTTTGAAATACCTAAGAGGGTACTGGGTGAAGTCCTTTTTCTTGAATTTAATTGTCCTTGGCTTGTGCTCCAGTCTCAGGAGATGTCTGAGATGTGATGTTAAAGGCTTGTACCTTGAACCTGCTACGATGGAGACAACTTCAGTAGATTGTAGAAGCTCTCTGTAAGCTAAAGAAATACCGTTCTTTTAAGTATTTGCTCCCTTACAGGTAGGGACAGCAGTAGCTCAGGAGGTAGTGGGAGTTGTCCAGTGATTTGAAGGTTGCAGGTTCGATCTCGGCTCTGACCAAAGAATGCTGCTGTTGTGTCATTGGGCAAGACACTTAACCTTCCTTACCTGTTGGTGGTGGTCGGGGGTACCGGTGGCACCAGCAGGTAAGGAGGCCTCTCCTCGGCCAGTGTGTCCTTGGGGGATTGTAGAACCCTAAGAAGGCGCTATACAAAGACAGGCCATTTACCATTTATTCTCTTTTATCACTTAAATGGTTCAGATCAGGCAAAAATAATGCGAGTCTACATAAAATGGTTTTTTATATATTTTGTATTGCATATTTGAATGAAAAAACGTATCCAGACCAACCTGATTTTATGGGAGAAAGTAAAGGACCCCTAAAGTTAATAACAGATTTGAACCCATTTGTGAAAATAGGTTATGAGTCTTTGGTGTCTCTGTGGAAAAAAATGGTCCCACTCTTCTTTACAGAAATGTTACACTTAGGGTGTAACAGAGGGTTTTCATGCATAAACATCCTGTTTAAAGATCAAGTTCACTGAGAAACTATTCTGAAAATGATCAGTGACTGAGTTTTTCATGCAGACTGAACATGAAAATAGTCTTCAACACCCATCTCCTATTCTGGAAAATGCTCGGTTCAGAAAAGCTTGACAGTTCCATGTCACACTGTCAATTAACATTCATTGACTCACCCATCTTGGCTCACGACGAGGAAGGCTGTTGTTGGTTTAGCATCCAGGAAACAGCAGAGAACATCTCAGCTATAGAAGCTAACTGTTAGCATTAACAACTCCACCACACAGCAGAACTCCTTAAGGCTTGTGGTATTTGTGGAGGTAAAACATCAACGTTACAAAGCAAAGAGTCAGTGGTAGAGTCACGTTGCTGTTAGCCAATCAGAGGTGAGATGTCAGAATATCAGAAAATGAGACCACAAATCCTGCTGTCTGAAGCTGCATTCTCCTCCAGCTGAATTCTAAGTCCTCAAGCAAGCACACCTGATCTTTTTCTTTTTTCCCCCCTACACAATGACTGTCAAGGCATTCATTACTAGACCAATTCAAATATATTAAAAATATGAGAAACTTGATCTTTAAGGTCAAGGTCAAGTGGTGTGTCACAGATTTTCCTGCTAGAGAGCAGGATTCATGGTTCCATCAGTTACAGAAAGTCATCCTGGTCCTGAAGCAGCAAAGCCGCCCCAGACCATGACACTCCCACCACCATGTTTCACAGTTTTTAGTCCAGGTAGAACAGGAAAGTTCTCATTTTGCCATAATAATTAACAATATTTCCTCAAATATTTTCAAGAACATCGAGGTGTTTGTTTTTAGTAAATGAGAGGCAAACATTTGTGATCGTCAGTGGTTTTGGTCTTCAAATTCTCCCAATATGCCGTTTGTTTGCATATGCAAATTGTGAAACTCTGACCGTAACATTAGTGGGTGGTGTTTGGGGTTTTATTGTTTGTGAAATCCTTTAAAATGGTGCACGCTATTTTGCTTTTTGGGAGTTTTTTTTGTCTACTTTATTTCTTTTCAAACAGGCCTTATTGAAGTAATATTTTTAATTCTAAAGGTCTGGTAGTAATTGGGCCCAGACGTGGCTGTAGTTGAGCTCTTGATTTAATGTGCTTAATCCCAGATAAGTCATGATTTAATAGGCAGGTACCTTTTCACACAGGGCCAGGTTGGTTTGGCTTTGTGCCCTTTATGCATTAAATAATCAATTTAAAAATGGCCTTTTTGTATTTATTCAAGTAATTCTTGTCTTATCTGGAGCAAATACTTATGTTTGTATATCCCACCTAATGTTCTATAACATATTCAGTAAAGATGTTATAAAGCATTTTTTTTCTTTTCAGAG